CAATTGTCTAAATTGATGCCACACCACAAGGTTGAGCAAAGGCCTTGAAGGAACAAAATACTGGTGGAAGTGGATTTTGCTGCTCATGTAAAGCCCTGCTCTCCAAGGAGCACATCACTTCCTATTGTCACATTCAGACTTTGGTGACTACTGAGTCACAGGGACTGAATGACCTTGGGCAATGGGCATGTTTTTGTCGAGAGATATTTTATCCGAATATTGGCTCTGTACAGTGTGATTGGTAAGAAGATGCTGTTTTAAGATTTTATGGCTTCCTGAGTCAGCTCTGAAGTTTATATTGCTGATATAAAGGCAAAACCTGCCAATATCCATTTAAGTTGGACCAAGAATGGGGTGGGTTTGACCTATCAGAAGACGTGTGTTGCAGGCTGGGTCCTGGCAGGCCTGTCTGTGTTATCTTCTGGAATTACCTCCAGATAGGAGGTTGCTGTATTTCCTATCTTTCATGTTGCTTTGCACATCTGTCAACTATTATACAGAGATTTTTTTAATATTTCATCTGATGACCTGACCAAATCAGAAAAGAAGCAGAAAATATTTGAGAAGCACAGATCTCTAGCAGTAGAGATCCCACCAGCCACATCTTTAACTTGTATGACTTGGCATTGCTACAGTGATTTTTAGAGTTGAACTTGTTTATAGCTACAGAAGATAGATCTGCCTCAATATTTGTGTTGCTGACCATCCACAAGATGGAGATCAGAAGAGTCAAGGGTCAAGGTGTTCTGGTAACAATTTCTCACCATTCCTTTTCATATCTCCTCTAAGATGCTCCTCTGGGTCCACAAAATCACCTGCTCTCTGGGACTGTTTTCTTCTCTTTTCCCATGCCTCCTCTCCATACACAAGGAATGTCTAGTAGAAATGAGCCTTTGTGGATATCTTGCCATGTTCTTCATCAAAGTGAATCTAAAAAAAACATTGATTCTCTCTAGGGAGGGCTGATGCTGACCTTCTGTCCTCTCTCCAGGCAGTCTGGCTGCTCTGCTGCTTGGGACAGAGAAGCTGAGTCTTTGGGTTTGCATCTGCATTTCATGAGATTCACACCTGGGATGCAAATGTCTTCAACAGGAATGAAAAGGAAACGCTTTTCACTTTTCGCAGTTTGTCTTTCACAGCAATTTGGGGTAATCTGAGATTTAATTTATTCTCCAGTTGAAAAGGGAAGGGAAATCAAGCCAGCATCTTTCTTTCAAGCCAGGATTTTTCTTGCATAGCCCCGTGCAGGCGCACACAAAAGAGCTCTGATCACTCTAACTAGGTGCTTGTTCTAATTATAGAAAGATTTAGCGTTGGTTACATAATTGCCCACTGCACATCAGCACATGGCATTGTTATGCTACAAAAGCCTCTTTTTTTATTCCTCTCTCTGCAGCAGACCTAGTGTTAGCCTGTTTAACAGCAAGTTGCAAGGAACAAAATAATTCTGAAGAAACCTTCCATAGCTTTCCCGGGAGAGGCCAGCAAAAATCAGATGCTGACCTGCTCCCTGTGCTGGGAGCATTGCCAGCATGTGGGATCTAGCTGTTGAAGCAGGGGATTGATAGCCCGGGCAGCAGTCTTTGAAGCATCCTGGGTAGAAGCAGTGGGCTGTGGTCAGGAATCGGTGGTTGTGCTGAGGTTAGAGTCACTATTTTTAATTTTTATATGCAATAGCACAGTAGCTTTAAATGGACACCCCACTATTATGCCCACTGTCAGCCTGAGCCACGGAGGCTGTCAATTTGCAAACACAAAAATCATCACAAAATTTACATATGCTTTAGTAGAACAGTGGACCTTTTCCCTGTATTTTTAAGCTTTTTAAATTATGTGATTCAGAGTTGTTACTTCATGTTCAATCTGTATTTATTTCTCTCATTTCCTCAGCAGCATGTCAGGTTCACATCTCCCTAACTTTTTATTTTCTTCGGTTTTTCCCTCCAAACCATGAAGCTTCCTTCCAACAAAGAGTCCTTCCTACATAATTTGTAATGGTCCAAGACTAAGCTGCAGTGCTTCACTGCCCCGCATCCGTTCAAAAGCTCCCATCTGTCCTAGAAGGGAAAGAAACTTAAGGCATTGCAGCCAGTTTAGCCATCATATGGCTGATGCAGCAACTGGTCATGTGGGCCCTGTATCTTCAGAGTGCTAGTAGGGTAATCACCCTTATCTCTGCCCTTCATAATTTGTAGCTGCTTTGTTTCTTAGAGATAATATTTAGCAGGAAGACCTCACTGTGCAGGCATTGGCATTAAGGTCTGCCGCAGAGTACAAGCGAGGAAAACAAAAATGAAGCCAGACAGAAACAAAAGGGATACTGTGGCAGCTTGATTCTATCTGAACGGCACATGCCAACCAGTGCCGCTCTGTCACTCCCCTCCTCAGCTGGACAGGGAGAGACAATAACAAAAGTCTCATGTGTTGAGATAAAGACAGGGAGAGATCATTCACTAATTACTGTCAGGGGCAAAACATGGGGACTGGGGAAAATGAAATTAATTTATTTTTAATTTATTACCAATCAGATCAGAGTAGGATAGTGACAAATAACCGCAAATTTAAAAAAAACACCTTCCCCAACTCTCCCTTCTTCCTGAGCTCAACTTCACTCCCTATTTTCTCTATTTCACCTCCATCAGAAGAACAGGGTGTCAGGGAATGGAGTCTGTAGTCAGTTCATCACACATTAATGTATGTTGCTGTTCCTTCTATCACAGGAATAGAAATCACACTCTTCCCCTGCTCCATTGTGGGGTCCCTCCCCTGAAGAGTTCTCCGCAAACTTCTCTAATGTGAGTCATTCCCATTACCTCCAGTTCCTCATTAACTTCTCCAGCATGGCCCCTCCACAGGGTCACAAGTCCTGCTAGCAAATCTGCTCCAGTGTGGGCTCCTCTATTCTCATAGGTCCACAGGTCCTGCTCTAGAGGGTCAGCAGCATCCACTTGCTGCAGGTGGACATCTGATACATCATGGCCATCCATGGGCTGCACAGGTGCAACTGCCTTATCATGGTCTTCACCACAGGCTGCAGGGGAGTCTCAGCTCTGGCACCTGGAGTATTATGACCCTGAGATTAGTTCAGCTGGTTAGAGATTGGTGCTAATAACACTGGGGTTGCAGGATTGTTCGTCAGTATGGGCCATTCACTGAAGAGTTGGGACTGGATGTTCCTTCTAGGTGCCTTAGGATATTCTGTGATCTGAAAATAGCCACCTTCTCTCTGCCTCTCCTTCTCCATTGACCTTGGTGTCTGCAAGAGCTGTCTCTTTCACATATTTCCATTCCTTTCTTCTCTGACTGCAATTACTTCTGCACAATAACTTTTTTTCTCTTCTTCACTATGCTATCGCAGAGGTGTTACCACAGTCACTGACAGGCTTGGCCTTGGCCAGTGGAGGGCCTTTCTTGGAGCCATCTGGTGTTAGCCCTGTCAGACATGGGGGACGCTTCCACCAGCTTTCACAAAAGCCACCCTGTAGCCCCCCTGCCCCCCCCTAACAAAATGCTGCGACACAAATCCAATACAGGTGTCCATCAAATGTTTCCAATATTATGTTGATCTTTTAGGAAAATATTTAACACACCTTTGTCCCCCAGCCAGGGAGAAGATAGTTAAATTTCCTTTACAGCACTTTTCCACAGGGGTTTGGATGAAAAACCTATTCATCCAGGAAGAGAGACTTGATATCAGGATGTTTTCTTGAGTGCAATATCCTACTCTCCTGAGCTAGTAGATGGGAACAGGGGGCAGAACAGCCCCCCCGTAATCCAGGAGGAAGCCGTTAGTGACCTGCTGAGCCACTTAGATGCTGACAAGTCTATGGAACTGGATGGGATCCATCCCAGAGTGATGAGGGAGCTGGCAGACGGGCTTGTGAAGCTGCTCTCCATCATTTACCATCAGTCCTGGCTCCCTGGGGAGGTCCCTTATGATTCAAGGTAACGGTAACCCAATGTGAACCCATCTTTAAGAAGGGCCAAAAGGAGGATCTGGGAAACTACAGGCCTGTCAGCCGGACCTTGGTTCCTGGCAAGTTTATGGAACAGATCATCTGGAGTAAAATCACACTTCACCTACAGGATGCCCAAGCAATCAGACCCAGCCAGCATGGATGTTGGAGAGGCAGGCCCTGGTCCGGGATCTGCCTGGTGTATGAGGGGAAGGCTGTGGATGTTGTCTACCCAGACTAGTGAAGCCTCTGGAGCACAGATCCTATGAGGAGTGGCTGAGGGAACTGGGGGTGTTTAGCCTGGAGAGGAGGAGGATCCGGGGAGACATTATCACTCTCTACTACCATCTGAAAGGAAGTTGCAGCCAGGTGAGGTTGCAACCTTCTCCCAGGCAACCAGCAATAGCACAAGAGGACCCAAGCTGTGGAAGGGGAGGTTTAAGTTGGACATGAGGAAGTTCTTCACAGAAAGGGTGATTAAACATTGGAATAGAATGATTAAATATTGGAATGGGCTGAATGGGGAGGTGGTGGAATCACTATCCCTGGCGGTGTTTAAGAAAAGACTGTATGTGACACTTAGTACTGTGGCCTAATTGACAAGGTAATGTTAGGTCATAGACAGGATTCAGTGATCCTAAAGGTCTTTTCCAACCTAGTTGATTGGGTGAAATAGGATGTGAAATTTAATTTAAGTATGAATTTTTTTTTAAGAGCGCAGAAGATGGGTTTTCTGAGACCCCCACTGACAAAGTGGGACTGCGTTTACCCTGCAATTACCGAAGGGAGGTAGGAAGCCTTTAATCCGGGGTGCGAGCTGCTCACTTCCCCGCAGAAAGGCATCAGCGCAGCCCCGGAGCCGTCGAGGTCCAGCGTTCCATTTCCCCCGACCTCCCCCCACTAGTCCCCTGTGGGCTTGTCCACGGGCCGCCCCTTGCAGTCCCACCGCTCCCCCGCCCCTCCGAGCAGCCGCGACGGAAGACTACATTTCCCGGCGTGCCGTGCGAGCCAGGGCCGTACCGTGTGCGAGGTGGAGGGGGGGAGCGGCGAGGGGCGCGCGTGAGTTGAAGTGCCGGCGAGGCGGTCGGTAAGTGCCGCTCCGAGCGCCGCCGGAGCGCCCGGGCCTTCCCACCCTCACGGCCGCCACGGCGACTCCGGGCCCAGGCAGCGAGTGCCGCCCGCAGCTGCGGCCCCGGCGGCGGGGACCCGGTTGTTGCAGGGCTCGGCGCGGCCGGGGCTGCTCGTGGAGGCGGGAGCGGCGCGGGGCGCGGACGCTGCTCTGGGAGACCCGGCCTGGCCTGAAGCAGAACCGAGAGCAGGCGGCGCCGGCCCCTTGTGTCCTTCATGGGCGGATCTCGGGCGAGGCGGCGGACTCGGGCCCTGGATCCTCACTGTCCTCGGGGCGGTCAGCGGTCGCCGCCGCTCGCCGAGCCTGGGCAGGTGGCGGTGGGGTCACCTTCGGGGCTCCGACAGGGAACCGGCACCGTCCCGGCTGCCCCTGGTGGGAACAGGAGACGCCTAGCTGTAACGCGAGGGACGCTTAGGTGTGCCAAGTTGTGTAAAAGTCAAAAGAGCCACCTCACTTAGGTGAAAATAGAGCTGGAGGTCATCTGTCAACGCAGGGCTTAATATCGAGAGGCTGTGACATCCCAAGGCTTGTTTGACAGCTGACAGGGCCCTTAAGATATCCCTAGGGGTGTCGTAATGGCTCATTTACATGGAAAAGACTTCTCTATACCTTATGCAAAACATTGAAATACGATTTACTTCAGACAATTCTATTTCTGTACCTTATATTGGAGGGGTTTTAATTATTCCCTTTTTATTGCTGCAACATGTTAAGCATGAAAGTAGGAACTTTCTTGCTGAAGAATTCAGCTTGCTGCCTGTTTTATTTGCTGCCTAAAGTTCCCGTCTTCTATTCATGACGTACAGCTGGCGGGTATGGCAATAGATGTGATGTAACAAACTGCAGATTATAGCTTCAGGTAGGAATAAGATGCAAGAACAGATGGACCTGCATTCTGCTTTCAATAAAATGTTCTTTTAGTAATTGAGAAACTGAAGGAAAAAATAATGAAAAAGAGAGGCATATTTTCTGTTAAGAAAATGTCACTGCACCTTTCACTTTTCAATGAATGAAATTTTACGGAAATGTACAAGGAGCACAAATGATTTAATTAAAACACTGCAAAAAAGTGACTTTAGAAGGTGACAGAGGATACAAGAGATCTCTGTACAAAAAAGATTGGTCCTGTTGGAAGAAACCCCAAAATTTCTGGAATTACAGTGAGGCAGGAGAAGGAGGGCGACTTTTTTTTTGTGAAGTGTATGTGCATTTGGCTGCAGTCAAGAGCCCAGTTTTATTTTCTGTTGAGTTTGATCATAGATTCAAAGGAGTCCTGGTCAGCCCGCTACCCATTCTGACAGGAGAAAGAGCTGGGTTGCTGCAGGCAGCTGTGACAGGCACTGACGGAATATGTCTCAGCTTTTCTGCCTCACAGTTACCTAGGGTTTGTAAGGAAATAAAAGGAAATAATAAAGTTTAGCTAAGGTTCATGTACAAAGGTCTCTTGTGTTATATTAGCTTGCTTTGCTGATTGTGTTCTTGTGAACTGTTTTTGAAAGACTTGACCTGTGTCACTGCATGTGTTTTTTGATTACAAGGCTTCTGAGAGAAAAGGCACAAGCAGACTGACCCTGCTGAAACTTCACAATGAGAAGTAGGCAAGTTTCTCAGTCAAGTCTGGGATGGGAGGATTGGTAGGCTCCACCTTGATGGGGTAAGAGCCTGAACTGTCTCGAGGGTGCCCTTGAGAGCTTGCAGTGAAGTGACAATACCTTTTGATTTGTGGTAGAAGCAGAAGGAATGGTCAATCATACCTTCTATCCAATACCAGCCATAGGGAAAGGAAAGAAAAATGTACCTAACTCATTATTTTTTTTCATATCTGAATCCTCTACAGTGACATAAAGAAATGGAAAATATATGTATTAACATGTAATGAGTTACATGTTTATGCTACTTTACATACCGCAATCAATGAATGTAGTGGTCCTAAGTGCTTAGTGTGCGAGATGTGTTCATTCCCCACCCTTGTCTCACAGAAAAAAAAGTGATTGAGAAGTGTCTCACCCCAGGCCTGTATTGGGCCTGTGACAGAGCTAGGAATAGGCTGTAGATTCCTGCACAAGACTGTTCTTCCAGTACATTCCCTGTCTGACACTTGAATGCGATGGTAACAATGAGAAAACCAGTCTCTCTTGGTCACTCTGATCAGTTCTCCCATCCCCTGTGGTTGTCTGGCACAGACTGCTGGAGTGGCATACAACCTCCTGGGGTGCATTGCCTTTTCCCAGACCACTCTTCATCAATGTGGAACTTTAAGAACTAGCCTGGCAGAGTTTCTAACATGCTTTGGGTGTTCTTGATGTTGCAAGAGCTTTTTCTAAGCCCTGTTTTTTTATATCTTCTGTTGTCCCCTTAAAATCTGCCTATGCTGTGATATCTTCAAAAATTTGTGTTGAAGTGCCTGTTGATAGGATCAGAATTGACTTTTGGTGATCTCAGGCTTCCTTCTGTCTGTCCACCTGTTGTATCCATCTCCTTGAAAAGCCTTTGGGATCCTGAGCAAATGTTTTGTTGCACATATGCAAGGTCTAGCTGTGAGTTACTTCTGGATTTGTGGCCAGTAGACACTGTTGAGTTAGGAATAGCAATGAGCAACTTGCCCTCAGTTGCTGGGTGATTGCTTGAGCTCTTGGCTGAGGGCAGTGCTAGCAATGTGTCATTAGGAAAGGAGCAATTAAAACTTGGATTGTCAGGTCCTCTGGGGCTGTAGGCATCAGATCACTAAGTCCTGATCAGATGTTACAGTTGCTGTTTTATGTCTTGGCAGGGTTCATCAGTCATGGCACTAAGGGCCTTGAAATTTGCCTCACTGACAGCGGCTGCTTCTGGCATCTATCTGTATGGAAACAAGTTCCTGGATCCTAATGACTTTGGAGTTGTTCGTGTGGGCCGAGCCATTGCCACAGTAAGTTCTATCGCAGCAGTGTGCAGGAAGATTGCTAGATGGATAAGGGAATTGAAGTTCACAAAAACTTGGGGTTTTCTCCATTCCCTGTCTGCATTTTCAGTTGGCAGCTGGCTTAGGAAGTGCGAATGTCTGTGGGGAGCTCTTAAAGTTTTTGATACATGAGGAGAAAGGAGGTGAAAGCATGTAAGGAATACAGCTGTTGTTTGCACATTTTGGAAAGAGAAAAATGAAGATACTGCACTTCAGAGAGCTGTCTCTGTTTCCCTGGATAGGGTCGGACCTTCAGAGCAAGGTCTCACTTTGGGCCCACATTTTCATCAGCTACCCTTCAAGGTCAGTCGCCCAGGTGCAGTGTCCTGCTGCCTTTTAAGAGTGACTTAGTTCAAACCCTCCTCTCTGCATGTGCCATTTTCACATTCTGTTGTAAGTATCCTGGTTGTATTGATAAATTAGGGTAACCATTTCCTTATGACCCTTGGTATGAGATTTCAGGAGAGAAGGACTGGTGTTCTGTGGATCATTCTCAAAGCAAGAGTAAAGTGAGGATGGGTGATTACATACTTCTGAGATTGGATATGGTTTCCAGATGTGTAAAATGAATGCTGTAGCTGCCTGGCATCACTGATATTTCTCAGAAAACTGGGATTGGAGACTGCTGCTTTTCCTTGACGAAGTTCACTGATGAATCCATGAGCAGCCAGGAACATGTCCAGAGACACTGGAGGGGGTATCAGTCTCCCTGTACCTCACTTGCATTATACATCTGTCACTTCAGGCCACAATCTCCATCATTTATAGACCCCCAGTGGTAAGCAGCTGTCTATCTGCATTTTCTGTGACTTCTAAGCACTTCGTTAATGAGTTTTACAAGGAGTCAGCTCCTGAGGGCAGATGCAATGAGAAACAAGCTCTGTGGGTTGGCTCAGGTGCCATGTGCGTGCAGCATCATAAACTGTTGGGAAGAATGAATGATTGTTTTGAAAGGGTGAAGGCAGAAATACAAACTGTAATCTTTCCTTCTTACTTAACAAGTGCTAAGCTTTGTGCTCTGTCCCTGATGGTAAGGTGCTGCCTGGTGGCAAGGAGCAGCTCTTTCCCTTTTAAAG